TTAGGCAAACATCCGAACAAATCAAGCACCACATAGAGAAAAGGTCGCCAATGCGAACCTTATCACTCTCCTCACGGTGATAGAGAGAATAAGCGACAAAATGATGGATTAACCGCATGATAGGAGACCTGGCCACATATAACCCACAGGCATGCGCCGAAACATCCATAGAATTGTATCCCTATGGTTGTAAATGAATACATTTATCGAGATAGGGAACAATGTGAGGGATATCCACCTCGTCGGGAGAACAAAATCTCCAACCGTCGCCCCAACTCTGCAAGACTGTAGGATCGAGTCACCCGTCCAAGTATAAAAGTAAAAACTGGCTGATCATGCTAGTAATGGTTGTCCTTGTTGAAGCTTACAAAGGAAAAGAACTCCCAATAAAGCTCCCGATAGATAGTCTCTTGTATCCCAAAAAGACGTCGTCGTCCATGTAAAGTAAAGAGGCCACAACCATATATGCGGGTGAGATCCGACTCTAAACGCTCTGTTAAACCCAAATCATTCACATCATGCCATGAACTCACCTTCAGGATACTGATTTGTTTGGGAAGTAGCTGAACCATTTGATTGATGTAAGTGTTCCGATTAGTCGTAGGAATACTAGCAGGAAACTGGTGGAAAGGATGTAACAAACAAGATTAAAACCCTGTCGAAACATAATACCTGGAAAAGATATAACAAACAAGATTGAAACAACAAGAGAGAAAAGGAACCTTTTGTGAGCGCCATAAAGAAGCGTTGTGCACAGTTTGAAGATGCACCTCGTGCGCCACAAAACAATGGCGACTGTTTGCTTCCAAATCCAGATTTCGTCCATTTTTCAACCTAAAAACGTAAGGGTTTGATGATCGGTACTTATATAGGCCAAATACATGAACAATTTAGGCAAACAGACAACCAAACAACAGATTTGAGCGAAACCCTAAAATTTCTGCCCAAACCCTACAACCTTAAATTGAACCAAGGTAAATCGATTTACAGGAAACTAAGCATAGGGATTTTCTTAACAGGATTATATACGAGGGATTTAACAAGTCAATTTTAATTATTATGAACAAAATCGATAATCCTAAAAAGCTTCAAAAACTTGAAAACGAGAATCTCTAAACCGTTATGAGCCAAGAGATATTAAGATTAGAATGAATGTGTACCTTAGAAGTAGAAAGATCAAGAAATCGAAGGCAAAAACACCAAAAGAGTTGCATGCATGTTGTGTGTGGGTACCAGCTGAGAGAGAGTTGAGAAATAAAGGGACGTTTTAGGAAGTGCAAGGCGTCAAAAGGAGCCCATACATGCATTTTATCTCTGAACCGGTGAATGCACGCGTGACACGCGCTCTCATGTTTCAGGTTTTGACACTTTTGACCCCTACTTTGTTTCACCTATTCCTTTTAGAACCCAAGGAGCCAAATCTCTGCTTAAAATATCCACCCTATGAGTATATAGAATCTGGCATATCACACAAGACAAGGAAAAGGACAATATGATACAAAATAATCCCCGTTAAAAACATGAAGCTTCAAATTAGACTAATCATGTAAGGGAATCATTTAAGTATTTTGTAAAACGGAAAAAGATTGCTAGAAAAATTATCAACTAAACACAATCCACCTCCATAGCAAGAACGTACCTAGAGCACCCAATGAGTAAAGTAGTATAACAATCATGATCAACCTAATTGAATTTAGCAAAGTCATTCGAGGTTTGCGATAAATCAATCAAAGTAATAAAAAGTAATCATAATATATAGGATGAAACCACGCCAACACCAATACTAACACTGGTAGACCCAACCACCATCAAGACAATAGGAGAATAACAAATTTCCGACACCCTAATAGCCTATGAAGTCACCTGAAACAACACCCCAAGACTAAAGGAAGGGGATGACGAGTAGAACATCTACGAGAGAAATCAAGAAGCATACACTTATAAGGAATACATAAACAACAAGCCTAGACCCGTCTATGGAGATGAAGGAATAACTGGCCTAACCTACTAGATCAAGGTGATGGAACCGATCCTAGAAGCCCACGACTATGCCAAAAGCTGTTGGGTTAAATTCACCACCTATACATTCATGGATGCAACTCTTAATTGGTGGAATACCAACGTCAAGACCTTAGGAGTGGATACAGCCTACTCAATCCCTTGGGAGGAAATTAAAAGGATGATAATAACATAATTCTGCCCCAGGGGAGAAATATCAAGAATGGGGCAAGAGCTTTGATATCTAACTGCAGAGGGAACAAATTTGTTATCATATACCAGATGTTTAAAGGACCTAGCCACGATATGTCTGGAACTGTTAAATTCAGAGAACAAGAAGATCAAGAAATACATCAAAGGGCTAATTCCATTGTTTCAAGGAACAATAACCAACGCCTAACCTGACACCTTCCACAAGACTAAGGAATTAGCCTTCAGCCTAATAGAATAAGCAACCCATGGAAAAGCACCGGACGGATGAATGGATACAAAGAGAGTCAAGGCTAATAAGAGGAAATATAACGACTATTCAAGTAAATCCTCAAAGAATAAACAAGCCATCAATAAACCCCTTACTGCGATGACAGACCTTACGTCGGAAGTCTTCCACGATGCAATAAGTGCCAGTACCACCATGTAGGAGAATGTAGAGAACTAGTATGTAAAAACTGCAAGAAAATGAAGCATATCACCAAGTCTTGCAGAAGCCCGACTCGCACCAAGAACCAATAAGCTAGTTCTAATAGTCACCACAACTGTTTTTAGTGTGGAAAACAATAACACTTCAAAAGTGACTGCCCGTAAAATCAATAAAGAAATGCTTGAGGAAAGATATTCAGAAGTAGCATAAACTATGTAATTCCAAAATCTACCTAGACAAGCTAGCATGTTACATGTAAAACAATATTGTACCCAATATAAGGAATAAAGAAACTTATAATCTTTTAAATTATTTCAATGTGATCCTCACATAGTAAGACTCAACATAGTTTTTCAATGAACTTATTCATCCAATCTTATTTGATTACAGCTTCTAAAGTAGTGTATTCTTATTTTGTAGTAGACTGTGATATTATGCTTTTCTTGGGCCTCATTCCAACAAAACTTACTCTTCATTCTATAATGAAGTCATAATCTAATTATAATTCATAATTATATATTTGTTTTGAAGTTAGCGTCTTATGTAGCTCCTTTACATAAAGATATTCTAACTTCTAAACTGATTATCTCATATACATTCGTGTAAGGTTGAACCTTGGAATCTGATGAAGTAAAACCAGGTCACACTGACTTACATCAGCGCCAGTAGGGGTGGTCATTTGGAGGGATCGGTTCGATCCGATCCAATCAGGTGAATCCAAAATAGATTTTGGTTTTCAAAACATGGATCCGAATAGTCCACACTAAATTCAAATCCGATCTAATCCAACCAAATCACAATTCATTTGGATTGGTTTTTACAATTTAGTTTTCAAGAGTCGGAACACATTAAAAACACATATAACTAAAATATTAGCCAACTTCATAGAATAAACACAAACAAATTATTTAATTGCGGATTAAAATTTATAAACAACTACTAAGAAAATATATTATAGTTAATATTTTATAGATAATAACTTTTGAGAAAAAATACATATTAATGTTTTTTATTGGGTGAAATTTTTTTAATCTATTTGAAAAATAATTTACTAGATTAATAAATAGTTATAGATATATATTAGAAATAATTAAATATATAAATAATTGTTATTTGGTTTTTTTGGACTATTCAGCTCTTATTTTATAAACTAAACCAATCCGAAATCCAAAATAATAATTCGGTTTTGTTGAAAATCAATCCAAAATTCGAATATTCCAACAAAACAGTACAATCTAAATTGTCTATTTGGACAATTCGGTTTTATCCAAATAATGAACAACCCTAAGCGCCAGTTTGAAGACTTATTTTACAAAGCCAGCGTCAACGTGATAATATTTTGTATTTATAGATATACGTGTAATTAGTTAGCATATCTGATATCTTAGGGATATCGAATATACTTTGTATTTACATAGATTAGGTGAAATACCTGATTTTTAAGGATTCATATATCTTAGCTTTTACTATAAATTCATGTATTCAGGGTTCGTGTCATTCGTTGATTTACGAACCCTAGCTTTATGCTTGTTCTCTTAGTGAGAACTTTCTTAGTGAAAAACCTTTGTGATAAATCATTGTTCTTTGTCTTTTTGTTAATCGATCTTTGATCAGGTATCTTATAACTGGTATCAAAGCAGGTCACTGATATCGATTAACAATGTCTTCTTCTTCTTCATCCAGTCACTATAAAACCACCTCTGGTCACAAAATTCCACAGTTTGATGAGAATAACTTCTCCATGTGGAATTCAAAAGCCATGATGGTCCTAGAAACCATGGACTATTCCATGTTGGATATCATCAAGCATGGTCCTCATGTTCTTATGTAGCAGCCCATGAAGGATAACATTAAGGACGATGATGAGATTGAAAAACCTACTCATGAGTTAACTGAAGACGAGAAGCATCTAGGTGCTCTTGATGTCAAAGATCATGTGGCCATAGGAAACGATCTCCATTATGACATCTACCATTTTGTTCAAAATAATAGATCTGCCAATGAGATGATGGATACACTGATCGTAGCATATGAAGGAACAGATGAAGTTAAGGTTGTCAACAAGAACAGTCTAAATCGATGGTATGAGCACTTTCTCCAGCAGAAAAACAAATCTCTTACTCAAGTATTCAATCGATTTAATTGCTTGGTGAACGCTATGCGTTATCTCAACATGAACAATAGGAGAAACTCATTGGTTCTCAAGTTTCTTGACTTGTTGAATGATAGTTGGGAACATCACGTTGATGTTCTAAAGAACAGTGAGATAATCGCAACCATGGATATCTCTTCATTATGTGGTAATCTTCGTAATCATGAAGAAACAAAGATTTTGCGCAAGGAAATTATGTGAGACACTCACATGGATAGATATGTGGCCCTCTATTCAAAAACGCCACCCCCAAATAATGACAATGAATTATCTGATGAATCTGAAGGTGAAGCCGTGGTAGTCAAACGCTACATTAGGCGAAGCAAAAAGAAACCTTCTGGACCCAGAAGATTTCCATCAAAGTCTGACTCATCAACGTCTAAGGGATATGACGCTCGTAGGAAGATTGTTGCTGAGAAAAATGAAGGACTAAAGTGCTCCAACTATGGAGGCACCGGTCACTTCGCCAGGGAGTGCAAGTCCAAGAAGGTGGACACGAATGAAGATTATGAGGTGAAATATAAGAAGCTTTTGGCATCTTTGAAAAGGAAAAACATTGATGTGAAAGTTATGGTAGCAGAAGTGGAAAGTTGGGTAGATGATGAAGAATCATCTGATGAAGATAAAGGAAAAGACAAGTGCTTTATGGCATGCACTGATGCGTTTATCATTAATGAATGAAGTAGTGGCTCATGCACTTTTGAAGCTGATCTAGCTAAAGTTGTTAAGGATTAAAAAATGTTGGACTGGGACTCATCATCTTTATATCAGGTAAACAAAATTTTCAACTATTATGATAACGTAAAATGCATGATGTTTGATTACTTGTCTCTTCAACTTTCAAATGTTAATCAAGAAAATCAATCTCTTAGGTTTGAAATTGAAACACTACTAAATAAATTGATAGACAGTGAGAAAATTTTTGCTCAACAAACATTAATGTCATGAATCTATCTCTTAAAAATGTTGATCTTCACACAAAAAAGGATAACGCTAAATTGCATGCAAGTAAACTGCAAGGTATAGTTAATAATTGGGCACACTCTTATCATAAGCTAAAGAAAATAATTGATGCCCAGATACCTGATCAGTGTGAAAAAATTCTTGGTGGAAATATAGATAAGGTCGAAGAAGTTTATAAACAGGTTGAAACCGAACAAAATTTCCCTACTCTTAGTAATCTTGAAGAGGTTTTTAAATCTTGTTTTGTTAGTAATACGTACATAAATCAAACTCTCATAGATAAACACTACATAAAAAACCCTGATGGTCTCACTACATGTACTACCCACTTAACTGCCTTAGACCCTACTGTTAGAAATCCTACTTTTGATATTCCAACTTTTACCACTGAGATGTATCTTAAATTTGCTATATCAAATGGTGAATTTCACTCCACATTTGAAATACCCAAATTGAACTGTTAGCAATTTTGACACTGATAACTTTATTTCTTCCGATACTAATCAGCATGAGTCATGTGTCTTTATAACCTGTCACACTCATAGATCCTTTGTTTCTATAGCCATTTCAAAGGGTTCATAAGATACATGAAAAAGTTTCATCTCCCTAGAAATCTAAAAATACCAACTCATGTAATAAAAATAAAAATCATGGTATAAAGGTTTGCCATCTATGTGGAGATACATCTCATAAAATCAGTGACTGTACATGTGGAAAAAACACTAAGAGAGTTGACAATATTTGCATAAGACATGATAAGTAGATTAAAAAGGGTAACTCCTTAAATTGTCTCCCGACTGCTTGTTATAATATTTTTAATGTTAAATCCTTAGTGAAAAGATCCATTGAAAAATAGGTCAGTGTGTTCTAATTTGTTTTCTTAGCCCTGCAGGGTTAGGAACATGTTTGGTATCTTGATAGTGGGTGCTCCATGCATATGAAATTGTTTAAGTCTCTCCCTGGATGGGTTTTTTAAAAAGAATGGCCATGTGGTGACTTTTGGAGACAACAATAAGGGTAAAACTAAAGGATTTCGAACGAATTAGTGCAAGACCATGGAATTCAAGAATGTTTCATATGTAAAGGGACTCATACAAAATCTCATCTTGATCAATCAACCGTGGGATGATGGCTACAAGGTTCACTTCAACAAGGAGGAAGTGAAGTGATGGGTTTTGATACATAAAATAAAGAGTTTTTCACAAAAACCGACAACGGAGACTTTAAAATTTTCTACTAATTTCAAGTATATAACAAAACAAAAACCATCAAGGGTCCTTTTAAAGATGTTCGAGTGATATACAACAACCATAGGGTGTATAAGTATGACAACCTTTGAATCCTTTGTACCCTCTTGGATTTGGGGTGTTGGTGTAGATATCAAGAACAAGTAGCTTGAACTTCTCTATAAGTAATCCACCACAAAGAGTAAGGTACCCAAAAATGCTAGTTTTCTTCTTGTGTGACTTTTTTCTTTTAGCCTTAAGTGCTTAAACAATTAGGCACTAAAAAGGAAGACACAAAGTGAACACCAAAAGCCAAGTAACAACTTCAAAAAGGTGAGATTGCAAAGCTCTTGCAAGTTACGATTTTGGGAGAGAATGGGAAGAAGTTAGAGACCAAAAAACTAGCAACTTTTTCATGCATAAGAGCCCCTTTATATATCCCACGCAAGGTAAATCCATTTGAATAAAATACTCTAAAGTATTGACTACTAAGAGATTCATGGGGAGCAAGACGGTGAAGGTTGACAAGCAAACTCCATCCCTCTATTAAAGTAACGGCCATAAGTCCCTAAAGAGGATAAAAATTGCTTACAAGTATTTTAACTACGGTAGAGTAAGTCATTGATTTAATCATGGTTAACCAAGGTGTCCAAAACTTTGTACATGACTTATTATATGATACCATGTCATATAATGACTAGTTTTCTGCTTCTTATAATATTATTTTCATAAAACAATAATTTTTTATAATTAAATACGATAGTTGACTTTATTTATTAATAATAAATTACTTAATAAATATTCAGTTAGTACCAACTTGATTAAGGTGTGACCTTATAGGATCATGTGTCATTAGTAATATCACTCAATAATGATTCTTGAGCATATAGATCCAACACGAACATTTTTTATTTAAAGAAATCAACTATACTCACTACCAATAGGAAAAATGACATTTATGTGTTGGATATGCTTTGTACCTTAAAATATTTTCCTTCATTGTAATTGTTGATACGAAAAGTGACCCTCTTTGGCTAAAGGAACCGTAACCTAAAAGTGTTGGTGATACCGCAATAGGATCTGACTACCGAAGTTGAAGAAAATCTTTTATGAACCGCAACCGCAACAGCTACCGCAAAGATGAATGATGAAAACTTTCAAGTTACTTTACTGACTTAGCGTGTTTGCTTAGTTTTGTCTAGTGAACCTTGCATGATCACTGAAGTCGGTAGAATAGTATTTGTTTATTTCAAAAGTAACTTTTCGGAACTCTATAAATAGTGGATCCCACTTCATGTAACAAACACACTTTCACGATCTTTCTGAACTATTATCGAAATACAAAGATCATTCATCTCTATTCTATCTTAACTGATATTCTGAGTTCCTCTTCACTTTAAGTTGATTAAATTTATTAACTTGTGTTTGCATGCAATCCTTGTTATGAATCAACTTGGTGTCTACTTGATATAACTTGTTGTCATTTATATTTCCGTAATCTAACATTTCTAACTTATTATTATAGAGCTAACAAGATCATCGAGATTAACTTATTCTGCAACTTATTATCTTGTACTAACGTTTGTTTAAGTGTTCCTCAAAGTTCTTCTCTCAACATTAGATCTAATACTTTATTGCCTTGATTTCAAAAACTACAAAAAAAATAATCTTCTGTTTTCATCATAAAAACACAAAAATCCAAGTCTTTAATTTCTTTTACAAGAGGAGTACACACCGCATGTCTTTATCTTTCTAATATTTAATCCCCATGTTTTTTCTTTCTAGCACAAGGTTTAGGATCATCCCACTTTCATCTTCAAAGATGGATATGTAACTTTCTCATCCAAAGAAAATACCAGCTCGCCTAATCTTGTTTATCCTTTGTTGCAAGATCTTATCATTGAGCTTGGTTGCTTAAACCAATCTCGATGGCTCTGCATCTTTTCTTCAGCGGCTGCAACCTTTTAGTTTGAAGGTGATGTTTGGCGAGTTCGACACTGAGTGTCCATGAGGCAAAGTATGTTTGACCAATGGTTGACTCACCATGGTCAAATTGATGAGGAAAGTTAAGAATGTGATGGTCAAGGACTCATTATGTCAAACCTTAATTTAAATAGAAACTAATGGGAATTGGCATGTTTTAACCATAACGTAACGTGTGGAAGGATCTAGATCTCCTCATTTGATGATTTTTCTTGATTGGAGACCCTCCCATGGTGTCTTATGAATCTATAAAGTTAGGGGTTTAACCTCCTCAAGATTTAGCAAGATGGAGAAAAAAATGGAAGAATCAAATGCTTGCTAGGTATAAAATCTTCTTCTCTTAGCTCTATTTTCAAGTTCATCAATGGGGAAAACCCCCAAATTCGAAATTAGCTTCATCTATGGTTTAGGATTTGGTTTTCTAACCTCTATTGGGTTGGTTTGATGATTCCAACCTCAATCCAATCATCTCATTGATGGATTGAGGATTTGGAGGAAAACCCACATAAACCCTAGAAACTTAATTTGGGATATTGCAATTGATGATGAAATTGAATTGTATTTTATGACCTAGATGTTGTTTGATGATAATGAATCCAATTAGAATACCCAAACACATCCATGATGGTAGAATCGTGTATAAGTAGGATTAAAATGGATTTGGGACAATATAATGAAACCAATGGAATCCTTTGTTGTTGATATATTTATGAGTAAATGAAGTTCATAATCATGAATGGATACTCTTGGACTAATTTGAATTCAAAACATAAGATGTTGCTTGATTCATAGATTGATAAATGGAGTTATTGGTTATAAGGGCATTTTGGGAAATGTATTGATAATTACATGAATATTAACATCTAAGAAATGAATGACATTAATGAATATGAATTGACACTCTATAGATGATATCGGAACATAAACATAAAGAGATTATAGTGAAGTTCTAGCTCTAGTGATTTTGTTGGCCCACAGGGTAATTTGGGAAACATGGAATGGAATTGAGGATTCCATAGTTGGATTAAGTATGTACAATGAGATTAATGGTGGTTTTATGTACTTAAAAACATTTATTTGAGTGTTCAATAAGTTGGGAACCATCTTTGTAAGTTTTAGAATGCTCAATTGAACAATAGAGAAGTTAACCATTCTTGTGGAATTTGGGGATTAATATGATCTTAAAAGGGTTCAATGACCACTTAATGGATTAAGTGGCATCTATTTGGATGATAAAACACCTCTTAATCATGTGTGAGAACCTTTATAAATGGTACAAGGTGAATTGGAAACGGCCTTCAAGAACTATGCAAAGTAGAGTGCCTTAATGAGAAAAAAATTGCATTTTTAGGAGCATACAAAGTTTCATCATAGGGTTATGGTAAAACATTTCACCATTACGGTGAACTCTATTATTATTACGGTGAAACTTGTTCTAAAAATCCTTGTTCTTCACCTATATGTTCTGAAACCTTCCTGAAATCTTTTAAACATATATCTTTATCATAT